TGGGGGTTTATTTTTTGCTAAAGGAGCTGCGAAATATATGAATTATTGAAAAAAAGGTACTCACATAACGCAAGAAAAATCTTAGATAATATCAGGGATAATGCTGACAGCTACATTTTGAGAACAGTCCAATAGCGTAAGTTTATTGGTTAAACGATTTCTGGGGTTGAAATTATCATTGTCATTTGAATGACGAGAATAATTAATGGAAGCACTATATTTAAATTCTTATAAATTTAAATTCAGATAAAAGTATTTCATAAAACATCAAATGTATTACATTTTAATGGCAGCAGTATTTTACTAAATAAATGACAACATCTCTATATGAACTTCAGCCTTAAACAAACAAGAGTCCCGATCAATCATCCCTATCAAATTAATACAAGGAGTATTCCGTTCCAAGATTAATTTATATTATATATACCATTCTACAGTAGATTTGAATATACACAATACGGTACATACGTATAATGTATGTTTTAGTTTAATTAATAGACTGCGTAATACCGTCAAAAAGGTATTTTCATGTATATTTTTGGTATTAAATTATTTATCGTGTGCTCTAAGGCTCGCAAACGTTAATTAAAATGTGATTAAAAAGGATTACGAAACAAAATTTATATCTTCCTCAGGCGTATTAAATACGTGTCCAATTCGATATTATTTTAGGTCCTTCCATTCGCATTTTTATTGCCGTCATCCCTTCGATGATTAAACTACCGGTTCTAAAGATTATGCAGTTTTATGATAGTTTTCAGTTAATCAAGCTTTTTATGTGCACGAAGCTGTCTGCGTAGAAATGTACACACGAAAACTAATGGGAATCCAACCGTAGGGATTATTCCAATTACGTTTAACTATTTTTATCCTTAATTTTCCCATACACGATGTAAATTACTATCTGGATTTTATTAATTGCGTTTCTTCTATATCTGTGGTTGGTTGTATTTAATTTTCTTCGTCGCAGAAGGATTACAATGATATCGAAATATGCGGATTTTGTCATACCTCAAAGTTCTGTAACCTGGTATTCGCGACGTCCGTCGTCGGAAATGAAATAAAGGGAAGTTCTCTTGCTCACCTCAGAAGCGTGGTCCTCTAAAACTGGAAGAAGATCGAGGATAGTTTTACCCACATATCTCATCAACCGTTCACTTGTAAAGTAAACCGTGTAATTTTTTCCACCATCAACTTTTGAAATTAAATATATATTAGCGGTAGTATAATTTCAGTAACAAAAAATAAATGTACAAATTATATTCATTAACAAACACAGTAGCGGCAGTCGGCGACAACCTGTCTTGTAGGTGGCAGATGACGGAAGGGCGACAAGAAACGGTTCAACGGACGGACTCGGGCACCATCAAGCGAACATCCTCTCGCCTGGTCAAAAACGGCGGTAGCCACGGTCTGACAGATCTTTCTCAGTAGCCTCGGGTAAACGCAACCGGAGAAACGGAGGAATCGGACGGGTTCAGACGATGGCGGCGGTCACTTCGGCAAAACTAAAACAAAATTACGGCAAGCCAGCTAGCGGGAACGAAAGCAAGAAAACACCAATCGGCGGTGGGGGCAAAAGAAACTGCGGGAAAGCAAACAATATTCCTCCCCTATAATTAGTGAAACAGGAAGTAACAAAAAGCTCACCTTGAAGTTAACGGAGCGGTAGTAAAAGTTTGCTAAAAGCCAAAGTATATTTATATTGTTGTTATGATATCATTGTTAGTCAATTAGTCAGTGTATTTGTTCTATTGTTATTGATGCAAGGTTTTTGTAATGAATTTTGTGATGGGCGAACCCCTACCAATTGGAGGTAAACTTCTTGGAGCCTTCAATGAACGGTATTATTATTATTATTAATTCTAATAAATACGATGGGGTAACTTAATGCATAAGTGAAATGAAACGGTACGGATGCAAAATGAATTTACGGCAATGATAAAGATTAATACGGTACTGGTCAGGTATGAAACTTCGAAGCGCAAAACCGATGCTTCGTTACGCAATTCTCAACAAACCAATGAACACCTTGTTGCAGGACAGGTTCTTCAGTCACATAGGCAGATTTTACGCGGAGTTATCTTATCTAAAATTCATTTTCTAAGATAACAAGTAGTTTTTTTATCGATCAAGATAATTACATCAATCTTTTATAAAAATAAACGAAATACCCAATAAATCAAATCTGAACAGTCACATAAATAAATAAACAAAACAAATTGATGGGAAAAATGAGACAAAAATTCCTATCCTTAATAATTCTAGGAACTATTTTTTACAGAGAAGCAAACTACCACATACCTTGGATACAGGCTAGATAAGCAAAATCGTTTTGTGTCTAACAGTGCGGAATACCACCAGATTAATTAAATGAATTGTAATGAGCATTTTATAAGTAATTGGATGACCCGTATTCATTTCAGGTGACTGCACCTAAACCTCAATGTCCAACCCGACATTGTCTACACAGCAATTCTAATCTAGTTTTCAATTTGTATTTGTAAGAGGCAATACGTTCGAATATTTTAAAACCATTTAATCAAATTAAACTAGGAAAAAAGTCTTTAAGTGCCGAGTTATCAGGGCGAGATGCAAAATCGAAGATACGTTTTACTTATGCAGCCTTCGAAAGCTCTCGTCCTTTGAACAACGAGAGAAAAATTAATATTGTATGATTTCAGTGCCGTTTATTCATTAATAACAGAATTTGATTTCCCAGTGTTAAGCGAAAAAGAGCATTACAACTGCAAGATTGTGCAGTTAATTTCATTTGCGCTTTACCCAAAATTCCATGTAACAATGGGCATTACTGGACTACGGAATTTTGGAATTTCAATCCTACCAATTAAGTGAGTGTACATACCGGTAGCTAATCAGATATGTTGCAGCAAACTTCGTCTGATTAGATTGTTTCTGGTCTCAAATGAAGTGTGCTTAATATTAATGTGAATTTCAAGATCAGTCCCCGATTTTGAGGGCGTCGGTAGGGAATAATTAAAGAAGTATTAATTTTTGGACGTTATCACCCGAGTACGACGGCCGGCCGGCTGGAAATGAATGTAATGTAAATTAATTAAATTAATTAATTAGTTGTGATTATTGTTTAGTAATCCATTTAGATGATCCAGCACTGCTTTTAATTAAACGACATTTGGTATGTTACCAACTTTATAAATGATTAGTTTTGCGAGAAATTCAAACTGTCCGCAGTCATTTTGGATCACCCGGTAGTGAATTAATTACTAATCGTTTATTCTCGACTGGAGAGTAGGTTAATTTGGGAATTTTAATTGAACATTTGGTATGATTTGCCAAGATAAGAGTTTTGAGTCAAGTAATCAATAATTTTGAATATAAACAAAGTGTTACAATTTTTCACAGCTAATATTCGAATTTTAAGAGGTCGATTTTTCGAGGGCGGATATTCTCGAAGCGAACCTTTCGGAAACGAATTTACCTAGGGACGAGTTTTCTTGGGGGAGTTTCATTGACTTGAGCTTCTACTTCGTTTTTTGTATGAAATCTTTGGGTCTATCAAATGTTTCGTACCTATCATAATCCTTGTGAGATTTGGGCTGCAGATGTTGTCTGTCATTCATATTCGATATAGGTGCGTCCCAGGTAGATATGTAATATATAACCAATTTTGAGTTAATGGCCTTGAGCTCAGAGGTATAAGCAACATTTTTTGATTTGGTGGCATTCCTTATGATTTGTCAAAGAAAACTTTGTAAGAGATGTTTCCAGTTAAGGTATCGTAATAACGCAGCCTTTTCCTATTATTTTCTGTCCTTTCTATTCATCCCTCCTTTTTCACAATTTTGGAGCTTCCAAACAAATCATTTTGTCCCCCGTTTTATTTAAAATGCCTATCCAGGGATGTAGGATGCTATATAACATGCTTCTTGGTATTCTAATCAATCTAATTCAAATTAATTGCAAGTTATTTAACAAGTAATACCTACAAGTCTATATCTAACTAATAAATAATTTAACCTTAATACCTAGATGTTTTCGATTAAGTATATACTATACGTGTCGAAGAAGAAAGCATTGGGCTTTCTGGTTTTTAAATAATTGCTTTGCATGTCACTTTTTGCGTAGAAATAGAATAAATTTTTCATCACTTTGGCAATATATTCCAACTGGTGGGTGATAATAGAGCTGTCAAACATGAAACTAACATGCAATGTTTGAAGTTAAAGTAATAAATAATAATTAGCTCCGGTGGTGCATAATTGAGGTTTGAAGCAAAACGTCTCAAATAGACTCCCTGATCAGTAATTATTAAATACTGATGATTGATCAGTGCGTGATTAATTAACGTGGTTAGCTCGTAAATGAAACGAATCCGAAAAATTGAAGGCGTATGACAATGTCGACAGCGCAAATGCTTAACGAAATAAAGGCAAGGGGAAGGCAACTATTTTAAGCCAATAAAAAGTGGCGACCCTGTTAATGATGTAATTAATTGGATTATTGTGCATTTTTTCGGATTTTTTTCATTTTCCGGTTGGAGAAACAAAGGATTGTTAAGGGCTTAAATTCGAAAATTGTTAGTTTACCTAAACGTGAAAGTTAAATTAGCTATAATGCAAATATGGGCGAACTTTTTCCTGTTGACGTTTGTAATTTTTTACTATGCGCATTGCTGTTTAGTATGTAGCTAGGGACAAGGATGGAGAATTAAATGCTAACGACTGGCAATCAAGTTAATCTAATAAACCGCCTTCTATTTATGCATCAATGAATATCATGTTCAGTTGCTCTTGTACTCGGACAATAATATAATCCCTAATTAACTGCCTTGTAAGTTCGCTTTATATTTTGTTACGTTAAGGATTACCGACGAAAAAGCTTAACTTGAAATTAAAATCGCAAAAGAACTTCTGAACCACCACGTATTCGTCGTTATAATAAATTTACAAACTTCGGGTTAGAATTTATAATTTAAGGTGTCTCCTAGTCGAGATAGGAATCTAACTTTGGTGAGTCTCACAATAATTCATTATTAATCGACTCTTTGTCTGTATGGAGACACCAAGGGTAGTTCCTTTGCCTGCCAATAGCTTCTATACGCTTTGAGTATTTCGGAGCTTTAACTGCTCGGTTTTTCCAGCAGGATGGTCGCTAACTTTCTGTCACCTAACCTTTACACACTTTGGGGTTAAACACAGGTTACACCGTAATCTGCCCGCATCCCATTATTGGCGTTGCGGAAGTGCGGGAAAAACAAATACACCGTCCGGTGTAGGTGTTATTTGTATTGAAGGGTAACCACTGACGGACCATCCCTAACATTAAGAAATTCCGCATGCGTTTGCGCTTGAGCACTGCAACTCTGTGCGATGCTTTCACCCCTGTTTTTACACACATATTCTATGCCATAGTTTATCGACTGAAAGACAAAGACAGAACTACTTATGAGAAAAGAGATGCTACCTCATTCCAAATACCTTTCTAACCGATTTCTTACATGTACACATGCGCCCTCGGATGCGTTCGCAAATTAGATTATATTTTTTTCACTTTTTCCTGCTTTTAATTAGAGAACTTTGTCTTTTAATAAAAAGCTTCTCTGACTCAATAAAATGAAATGTTTTTCTTTAAAGATAAATTTGAAAAATGAAACTTTTTCTCCGTCTTTGACAGCATACTATATCTCTAGAATAAGTTCTATGATTATTTATAGTTCCCTAGAGTTTTTACCCCCAAAAGATAACGAACTAAAATAAAAGAATTCACGAAAATTACAAATTCTACCCTTAAAGCTCTAACCAGAAAGAAAATAAGGGTAAACGTAATAGGATTAGTTCAACACGAAGTTTTAGCTACAAAGCCAAATAATTTTTAAATTTTGCTCGTAATGCAGTCAATTTTCTTATCAATGAGGAATCTATTTTGAAGTCTAACGAAGTACGAGGGTGCAATGTAACATAAGGTAAAATTCGCTTTGAATGTAAGATTCAAACTACCCTCAAACGTATGAAAACGAGCCAAGAAATTTAAAATAGGGTGTACGGCACAAGAGAATGTTTAGGGGTGAATGTGCAGTAAGAAGGGATGAACACAAAGCGTGCGCTGTGAGAATCCACGTACGTCGTTCCCGTTCTTTCGTTTTTTATCGGGTTATATTTGGCGAGAGGATAGATGCCAACCAATCGCCGTTGAACCAGCAGACGGATAGAAGTTCCCGGGGCTGCCAAAGCTGCCACTCGGTATCGTATAGTCCCGTTTACAACAATTTTATGAATTGTGCAATAATATTATTTACGATTTTGATCAAGCGCGAACTTGTGGTGCTTTAATTTTAGGATTAACCCCAAAAAAAATCTCACGTCAATTTTCCGGCTTCCGAATTCTTTGTTCTCAATTCTGCTTTCTTTGCCCTTTTAAAATTTTTGTTTGTTTGGATTTCATCTTTATTTTTGTGCAACAACTTGCGGGTTAATGTGCAGATAAGGGATCGATGTGAGAAAATTGTTGAATGACTTAAGTGTGACTTTATTGGAATAAGTATTGACATAGGTGAGTTTGTGCACTTTTATGGCATGTTGTTTTCCAACAGATTTATTACAGTCGATTGTTAAATTTTGAAACTCCTTTAAAGTTCAAAACATACGCTAACGATTCAATGCGGAAACTGTCTGACTCAAGAATATAAAAATAAACAAAGAAAAGGCGACAAGCATTTACATACAAAAACTGTCATTAATCTAATGTCACTGTATTGTGTGACAAGTCATCAATTAGTCCACAAAATATGCGTGAAGGAAGTGAAAATCTTTACAATGACAAATCTTATGCAGTAGCTTTTGTTATAGGAATATTCATCCGTAGATTCGGCTATGCTGAATTATGACCGATTGTATGCAGTAAAATGCAGCAACGATTGTAATGCGGCGCGGGTTATTATCCACTTATACAAAGAGGTCAATGCGAATGCAAAAATGGAAACGGACTTGACACCAACCCGCCGCAAAATTAAAAAAGTACCGTCCACAAAAATCCGTAACCGTTGAATGAACTGCACACAGTATTATTTGTAAGCAAACTTTGGCAAATGGCTAATTTAATAAATTAACGCTAACTTTCGTAAGAGCATTGAAAAGTAAGCATTCGTATTTATTGTTAGCTAACAAAGGACTTTCTGGCAACTAAAATTCGACATAATTTTGATGCGTTTCACCTGCGTGGTTTTCACACTTGACATATAACTGACCTTAATTCCTAAAGTCGCAAACAAGTTAGGCGGTACCAGAGAGCAAGTCTTTATTAAAGCTAAAATAGCGTCGTAGGTGTAATTCTTGATATGATTCAAAGTAAACGGGCCCCATTTTTTAATGGGACATAAAGTTTCCATCCGCCCACTTCTGTACAATGAAATTGTAATGAGAATTTAACATGAAAATAAAGACACTTATGCTCAACGGCCTTTTAATTATGGTCATAGCATATTATGTACCCACTATATACGTTTTATGTTCACCCTATAAATTATTAGCACTAACCTTAATGAAAATGAGAAAGAATTCTCTTAATGTCCCAGCAACAAAAAAAATTCGTTGCTTGGGCTTTTAACCAAACATTTTTAGGAAACTGTTTATCACTGATACGTTGCCATTTTCCTCGTGTTTGGGGCTCTCTTTGTATTACCAACTTTTAGATTGGATTAATTTTTTAAAAATTACACTGGTATCGCTCTTCGCAAAAGAAAACCTCTACATTTTTAGACAGCATACAATTCCGTAATTGTCTTAATTTCAATATCCTGAGCAATATCCCAATGTGGTTGACATTTTATCCACCCCCAATTGACGATTTTATGAATAACTTGTATACCAACCTTCGTCGTATAAATGTGCATTAAAGGAATACTGACAATCTAAATCATGAAAACTATCGAACATTTCATAAACACTGTACCTATACTTTTAAAGCGAGAAATTTCAGCAGGTTGTTCCTCTTTGAATCAAGGCTTGAGAGACTGTTATCGCTTAGTACCTATATAGATAAAAGGATAGAAGAAAGATAAGGGTGTATCGCGATATACGGACCCCGAGCTACCTTTCTTAAGCATTTTCAACAAAAAAATTTCCGGAAGAAGACCTAAATTTACATGATTAAAGTTAAAACCGAATTACTTGAGTGGAATCAGTCGATATAAATTTATTATAAACATGTTCCAAGTGTTCGGGGGCAAATTTTTGGTTGATTTGGAGAGGATTCAGAAATTCCCCACACTGCGCTTATTATTTATGGTAGAAATATCAAGTTGATTTGTTTCGTCTCTAAATCTAAAGGGTATAAGGCAGGTGTACTATTCGGGAATAGTTAAGCCGGCTGGTCCGAACTCAAAAGATGTACTAGTGTATTTTGGATTATTTTAAATATAAGTATTTTCATTATTTATGACTTATAAGAAAGTTATATAACCAGATAGGCGATCTTAGTTGCATCCGCAGTTTAGGATAACCATGGGCCGTTCCGTAGACACAGTCGATAGGTTGGTTGCAGCTGCCAAAGGTCGAATATTTTATTTATCTTGTGGTTTACTTCGATGGTTTACGGTGATGCGTGGTGGTGAATGTGCGGCTTGGTGTTGCTTCTGGACTATCGACTAATAAGCTATCATTATTTATGATCACCCACTCTCGATGACTGTGAATAAAGGAACGCTGAAAGGGCGCTTGTATTTTAGGTACCCCGACACAGGGGTGTATCACGGAGTCTGATTTCCCTCGAAAATTAATGTCCTGGTGCCGTGTTTCCAAATAAGGCGGACTAGGATTAACCTGGTATCCACCCTAAAACGGTGTCTCCTGATAGACTCAAGCAAACCCGTCTAAGGGAGCCAGTTGAATCCCTCAATAACCAAGGAGACACTTAATAAAGCTGTTTACAAATAATATGTTGAGACGGACACATAAAAATATTGAATATTTGTGTTTGAATTTGACGCCCGATAATAATAATATAAGTTTTGGCGGGATTAACTGTTATATGAGGTTGTAATATCTCGAATCCTTCGAAAAATGTACCATAAAAGTATTATTTGTAGGTCGGGTACGAACCTACTCGTACATAATACTATCTTTGGGTCATAATAATACTGGGCATACTGTATTAAGAGCGATAGATCCCCTACCCGTGTTACCCGCCCAAAGGCAAAAGTTGGATACAGTGTGTTCAAGAAAAAATGGTCATATATAATTTTATATGCGACAACATGATCTATCCGAATGTAAAATGAAATTTCCGGTTTATCCGGAATTAGAGGCAGTTTTTGTTTTTCAAATACAATGTTTACTGTACATAAAATACGCATATGGTTGATATACATAAAAATGGAAAAATGCGTGATTCCATATTTAGAAAAATTATGAAACCTAGAATGTCGTGTGTTATCAGGATGCTCGATGTCGACCTGCCGCGCGAGAGACTGTATTCCACACGTAAGCTCGGCCTAGTGATGCTAGCAGGGAAGATCGAGCATGGGAACAGATACAAGAATTGGACGCGGAGACGTTAGCACGCCTCCTCACAAAACTGTTCGCCGAGACCATGTCACAGACGACGCTCGACTGACGTAGAGCTTACTGGTGGACGAATGCTATTGCTGTGCAGATATGTCGTTGCAATAAGGTCAGGATGGTGCTTCAACATAGAGCCAGAAGCGAGGCCTCAATCGAAAGTGAGTGGGTTGCTGATCAGAGTGAAGGGAAAGCGCTATCGGAAAAGTGTAAAGCTCTGCGACGAGGTCAACCGGGACGTATGGTATAAAGCGTACAAAGAAGCTGAGGGGCAAGACCACAGCTGTGAGATGGAATTCGACGCGGATTTCCTGGAGGCGGTTAACGAACTTTTCCCCATCCATCCCGTGCTGATCAAGAAGGGCGGAATGACGGAGGAAATCATCGCGGTTATCTATGGTAGCCGCAGACTTGCCACCGAATGAGAAGGCCCCTGAACTAGACAGAATACCGACGAGGGTGGGGCATTGTCCAGGTATGTCGACCAACATCGGCAAGGAAATGACGAAGACTGGAATCCCGGATAGGTAGAAAGAGAGCGGCTAGCATTGATTCCTAAGGATGGATGAAGCCACCTGCTAATTTGCCTTCTGGACAAAAGTAAAGTTAAGGAAAGAAGTGAAGCAAGGTTCGAAGGTATGGTATGCGATAAGTTGTCCTCAAAACAATTCCGATTCAGGAGAGGGAAATCCACGCGTAATGCCTTAAGATTCATTGTCGATAGGGTGGAAGGTACCAGGAAGACCAGCGAACTCTGCCTGCTGACGTCATTGGACGTTAAAAATGCCTTAACTCAGCAAATGGAGGAACTATTGTGAATGCGTTGCTCCAACTAAGAATTCCGGATTATCTGGTGAGGGTTGTCTACGCAACGAAACAGTCAGGCGAGGAGTACACCTGTACATCTAGTGCGGGTGTGCCGCACGAATCGGTTCTCAGGCCTCTTCTGTGGATCGTGGTGCACGATGGAGTTCTGAGGATACCTACCACGAGTGGAGTAGAACTGGTTGTATTGGCCGACGATCTCACGGTAATAGTGCGCGACCGCGACAAGGACGAGGCGACCCGTAAGCTGCTGAGGGAGATGAGTCCGCGAGAGCGGATAATGATCCCCAGGAAAATAAAACTCGTCATGGTGACATCCAGTCGAGTTCGTATTCTGAAATAGTTGTCGGTCAATTTTCGCATACATGCGGACGCGTATGGTGTTTATCAATATGCGGGTGGGAGCACTTACTGACGAAACGTAACCCCAGATGAGGTATGTGAGGCCTTCCAACGTCCGTGTAAACGCCCGGATGGTACAGACTAGTCACTCATCGTGACCAAACACGTATGTTCCCATGCGATAAGGAGTCTTACAACATCGACCGGCCCGTACAAGCCTAGGTAAGGATCACACCGATGAGAGTGCCTGCACGCACCCCAGAGCGTGGAGCACTTACCACATGCTCTCGGTGTAGATGCTGGTCCTGTGCCCCACAAACACCCTGCGAAATAGGAGACATTTCATCATCGAAACTGGTCTAAGGAATTTCCCATCTCTCTCACAAAAAAACACTTAACACACATATGCATAACATTTCTAAAGAAAGGTACGCCTGTACGACTACTGTAAATCATAATTGCATACAATAAGTAATGTAGGTCAATACAGTAATACAGTCCACTTCCATCGTCATGATCGATACAGATCGTTGAACTTACCCTAAGACAACGTTACGTTAGACACCTTTATTGGGATTTGAATGTGAGCAAAGGAAACACGTGTTCTACCAAGACGAAACCAAGACTATTATTTAAACAACTACACATTTCGAAAAAAAAATGGTATTACATTAATTTACGGAAACAAAATAGTTTTCTTTCCCGCACATTTTTTAGTTCAGTTGCCAAAAAGAACTGAACATAAACTAACATGACAATTTGTATACAGTAGAATGTTCTATCCATTCTATTGTAAGCTCTGATAATCTCTTATTTTGTATGGTAATTTCGTCTTGTAAAGTAGAAACGCTGTTGTGGAAATATTGTAATTGTAATTTAATTTTTAAACTTCGCGGATACATATTTTAAAACAAACATGAAATCATTTATCATCAATTTCTACCCGTTTCTGCGAATGACAATGGTGCGTTTTTGTGACTTAGATCAGTAGCTTGGACAACTTTACCGTTTGCGATCCGATTTCTACTATAGCGCTTTGTTCGTCGGTCTATTGATCCGTCAGCACGAGGAACAGATCTCAGCAGTGAAGCGAGTCATAAAACGTTCGTTGATGTCCAAATCTCTTCCTGATGATTTTCAAATTTAAGAAAAATCCTTACTTTTACCGCAGTGAGGAATCAATTTTACTCGGTCAACGATCGTTTTGTCTTACCCTTGCGGGATTATCGGCAACAGCAGTAATGTTTAGCTGAAGATCGATGATTACGCCTTTGTGATAAAGGTTTTATGACTACGCGAAAAATCATTACTTACTGAAACTATTTCTGGCAGATGTAACTATCTTGCTTTCGTGTCAGCACAATCACATCATATTCCTAAATAAATGGAGATTAAGTGAAATGCGACAGCGATAAAAAGCACCCAGAAGAGCTTTTGAGTGTTTGAACTTCCAAAATTATCAAACGGCTCAACTTTACTCAATGAAGTAGAAACTTGGCTGTATTGAAATACCGTGCGTTACCATTACATTACAAACAAGCTTTCGTAGTCCTGTTGCTTTCCCTTTCAGTTTTAGGAGCGCGTAGGTTTATATTTGATGCTTTTCGATTAGTTGTTTAAAGTATTACGTCCTTTTATCTTTGACACACAAGGTGAAAGGGATACAAATCCTTTATCGAGGAATTTGCGCGATGTAATCCCTAAATGTATATACAAGTTACGTACTATCTATAAAAGTTTGATTGTAAATCGTGATAATCCTATTGATTAAGTGTGAATTGGAAAGTCTACTTAGGTACGGAACTTTCGTCGAAAACTCGTGTGTTGCTTGTAACTGTTTCATACTAACGGATTTTAGTTGCAAATGGGCTTTAAATTTAATGTTGCGTATTAAACGGTAATTGTTGTTGTTTACTTGTTGGAGGTAATTCTGCTGTTAATTATTTAGGGCTCCTTTAAAAACTTCATACAAAGGAGGAATTAATTCCATTATAAAACGCATAATTGTACAGAATGTTTTATTACATTTGAGCACATTTCTTTCGTGAGGTGTAAATGTGTAATCGGGAAGATAGCTCCTGCAACTAAAAACCAGCTCACCTTGGGGGAAATTTTAGAAATCGTTTGGGGGTACCTAAATCCTGTGAATTGGTGATGTGATGATTTATTCAGTTACCTCGTCCATTACATTACGGTACTTGACTTTTTTTTTTCAAAAAATTTGCCATGCGTCTCGAATATTGTTCCATCTGAAACAAATTTTCCTACAACAAATTGATAATAATAAGTAACTCTTACCAGGGACCGGGATCGGACCGAAAAAGAACCGAAAACCGGACCGAAATCGGTATTTTTTGCTGGACCAAAAATCGAACCGAAACCGTGATTCCTTCAGAAATGGAAACGTATCGAGAACCCAACTTTTATCGGTTCTTTTTGGTTTTTTGCGGTTCTTTGAAGTTGAAGGACGCGCCGGCAACCACATCCTGAAAATTGATAAAATATTACTCTATGATTGCCATCGGTGGATTATAAATTTTTAATAAGGTTTCGAAATTGAAGGCATTACGGGTGGCGGTGGCGCTAATTTAGCCACTACTTTAAACAAATAAAAAAGGAGGGGCGAGGTTTTAGAAAATAAAATTTTCTGTTTTTTAGTAATAAACGAGGTAATAAATTAAGTGTAAATACATATTTCCCTCTTCCTTCTTTATTCCCCTTGTTATAAATTAGCTACACTGACGATACGTCGCGTTTTGGTATTCATGACTTTTTCTTCACCTTTTAATTAACAAATCACGTCAATGAATTTTTTGAATGCCATACTTTCTGAAAAACCAGAACCGAAAATAACAATTATGGACCGAAAAAATTCGCAGAACCGAACCGTTATTTCTTTTTAGAACCGAAACCGGACCGGAATCGTTATAAATATTTTGGCTTAAATATAAACAGATCCGGAACCGATATTTCATTTGGTTCCGGGTCCCTGACTCTTACTTTTTTACAGATATTCCGATTCATCTATAAAGCGTGGATTCATATGGGAAGGCATGTGATTCTACGATATTAATGAATTGTACTTCCTCGAGTACATTTTGGCAAAAGTTGAATGATGGCGATGAAGGTTTTGAATTAACATCATTATGGAGGTAAACGTTTAGATCATAATAAAAAAATTTATAACTATAGCTCGAACCGTGTTAGAAGGTATGTTGAATGTGCCTTTGGTATTCTAGCCAACAAATGCAGGAGAATACTGCATCGGTCGATAGATCTTCAAACAGAATCGGCGATCGACTTCATCAAAGAGCTTGTACAGTTTTACATCACTTTGTTTGAGATAAAGATGGAATTAATTTAGAACATAAGCAAAACCCAATTTCTATGGAAGCAAGTGAAGAAAGAACCCATCCCAAAAAACAAAGTAGAGGTGCGAACGTGATTCGAACAGCATTTGACGATTACATTGTGTCTGATACTGGTTCCATACCTTGGCAGGAAGCAGGTATATGAATATTTATTTTACCTAGTATTTATGTATGCAGTTTATTTTTGTTATAGATGTCTATGTAATCAATACATCCTTGTCTAGTACCTACTATTCGCGATTCAGATTAATAGTGAACCCTCTGGTGGCAGCACATTGTAATTGATACAGGTGGGAAAAAACCGCCATTTTATTTATTTACAATATCCAAGAATACCTGAATATTATAGTATTTACGGTTGTAAAAGTAAACACATTTGCAAAAATATCATTTACATCAAATACATTTTGTCACGGTTCTTTCAAAAATTTTAATTGTGACCAGTGCAATTATGCAACCAACAATACCTAAGATTAATTTAAGAAATCAATGTCTAACGCATAAGATGTTATTCAAAAAGCAAATACAAATGAGGACTTATAGAATAAAGCTCGGAATAAAGTGAACGTTTGATAAATGGAAATTAAAAGAAGTGCGATCTTCCGTTAGAGAAGCATTTTCAAAATGTTGTTACTGTCGATTATACAAAAAATATGTTATTGGTAAACAAAAAAGAAATATTCATTGCGTGCGTGCACCCGAACCATACGTTTGCGCTTTAATTATTACTTAGGTCAATATTAGGGTACGGAATAGTTCAGTCTGTCGACTGTGACATGACATGTTGGTTGTTGGAATATTTATATTTTGGGTCACGTCGCAACTACCAGGATATTTTATACATTTCGTTAAGATAGCAATGGAATGATCCTTAACTGTCCCCAATTTTTGATTTAATTCGCTGGATGAAATGTACTGAACCTCATTTTTCTGAGTGAGAAAGTACAATCATTAGAATTGGGGTCGCAAAATTGCGAGTTGAAATGATAATGGCGTTTTTTAAAAGAATTGGCTTTTGGCTTGGAAATTATAATTTCCCATTTGAAGCAGTAACTGGAAAAATCAATCTGCTCGTACACTTATCAGTTTTTTATTATATCGAGTGAAAAATGAATGTAGATTTTATGCATTTTTTTGCAAAACAAAACCAACATTGCGAGAAAAGTTTTGAGCAAACTACATCCATGTTTATTCACATTGTAATAATAGCGCTCTAAAACATGAAAAAAAGTGTCTCATTTTTAATGGGTTCTAAAATTGTATTTAGTTTCCTATGTAAGCTTCGAACATTGCCAATATTTGTGCGGAAAACGTTTCGTGTAATGGATATTTGTAACAACCTGGCGTAAAAACCGATAAACTGCACACTTTTGGCATCACTGAGACGCAACACGCCCTTAAAACCGCATATATTTTTCTAATCTTTTTTTACAAATTTTTGTAGCGAGTATCCCAGAAATCCCGATAGACTACATCGGCGATGAAGAACGAAGGCGGATGTGGACGTAATTTTACGAGATGTTTGACAACATTAGAGAGTCCTCGAGTTTGCTATATGAGAAAATCGAGTTACCTTTCAGGTCAGTTCCAATTTCAGCACCCAAGTCATAAATAGTTTGTTATAAATTGTATATGTGAGCGATAAGTAATAATTTAACTGTTATAAATCAATTGCAATTGTAATTAATAAATTGTTAAATTGTAAATAAATAAAGCATGTACTTAATTTACGTTATATTATGTAGATACATTTGAACCTCTGAATGTAATTTTGGTCTTTACATATCTATAGTTAACAAATGATAAACTTTTTTTCAACGCAAACTAGTGAGGTTATAATTACTAATAAAACTATTTTTCTTAATTTGAGTTTGTCTATTAAATTTAGTTATGCAATAGATTAATTTTTTACGTTTGTATATACAAAAAGGTGTGCACTTTAAAAATATATAATAAAAAATAGTAGTTGCTATTAAAAGATATATATGTCCTCTGCGACGTACGCCACTGACAAAAATTTCAAGTATGTTGATTAGTACCGAATTTTATAATTTTGGATACAACCAAAGGCTTCTTTAAAGAAATTTTGAGGGTATATTCAATGTTCCACTGTAAGGAACCAATGTTCACGTTATTTTATTTATAGAGCGTGTAGCCGCTGCCTTAAAATTAACTAGATGGGCGATCGCTAGATGTCACTATCTAACAATAACAAAATGATAACAAAGCATTGCGCGCAATAAGTTATCACTTCCCGTTCTTACCAATTATCATTTTTGTATAAAAGGAAGATCCCTTTTGCTTTACAGGACCCTTCTTTCTGTCTCTTGTGGACCTGAGAACCTGATTTTCATACCTTTTAACTTGAAAACTGAAAACCATTCGTCCGCTTTCCAGTTATTAATTTCACATCACTTTCTAACCGTCAAACTTGCAGCTTCTAGCCGAAATATTATAACGCAGCTCCCGATCGACGTGATCTTCATGTACCTGACAGTCTACAGTCAACGCCAACGGGGACGCTACAGGTCACAATAAACTCATCCAGGGATACCAACAAAATTTTGTTGATGATATTGTATAATATACAGTAGGGTCTACAATACTTACCAAGAATTCTTGTAAATCATTTCATTTGAAATTTTATAACCCCATCTCTTTGTCTAATGATAGATGTTTTGCCCTTTGGGGGTTATCCTAAAAGTAATTTCTAGCATTTTTCTTGGACACTTATAATATAAAAATGCCCTATTAATTTCGGACATAATACCTAGACGCATCTCATTGTTATTTGGCCGCTAGGTGTACAGTAACAGACTCCTAATTACCCCACAGAAACACTTATCAGTTAACATAATCAACGTTTCGCATTTTGGGTTTTTTTAAATGGGCGGGGTTGCTTTACTATCGCAACCCACTATAGATTTACACCAGGGACCCTCAGTACTGTAGTTGAACTCCCAATTCACAGCGTTGGAAAGTTTTAATGATTTATTTCATGTAGCAACGAACAATTCAAGGAAACATAGCTACTGTCGGGTACTGAAATTAAATTTCGAAAGTCAATCAGGCAAGTTAATTTTAGGAGCTTGAAATTTGTTATCCTTGTGAATCCAAATACATTTCTTCTAAATTCGTCCTAATCACTCTTTGAATTTCTGTTGAATTTCTGTTAAATTTTCATCAAATTCTACTTTTATTTATTTACTTCTAAGTCATTTTGAAATTCTCTTAAACTTTGCTTTAAATCATCAAGTGATATTGAATTCCTATTAATTTTTTCTTAAATTGCCTGAGAGAATGCCTTCGAAATTACTCTTGAAGAATTCTTCCGAAATTTTAATTGGGATCATTATAAACGGATCCCAAACTAGCTCTGAATTCCACTTTTATTTCTTTTTTTAATGTTAATAAATATTGGCCTCATTTAATTAGCTGCTTCCCTAGTTAAAAATATCATCCCTCAACTCCCTTCATTACAGTACATTTGAATAACTCCCAAAATTTGAAAGTTTGATTGTAAGTATAACGAATTTTCTGATTATCCTTTTAATTCAACCTAATTGCTCTTGAAGCTCTGCTGAATTTCCTTAACATTCCATTGAAACGCTTTTTGAGATACAGACAAGAATTTAAAGGTCAGCAATTTTGAAGAAACTCATGAAATGTGATCAAAAACAACAAATTACTCTTGAATTCCATCTTAATTGAGGAGGGTCGTTTTTACCACCCGCACGTTAATAACGGAAGTATTGCATTGGGGTAAAAAATGACCCCCCACTTTTTTTACGGAAATACACGTTTTTAAGCACCAGGAATCCGAATCAAACGAAATCTCGATGATGTCGGTCTATCTGTCTGTCGGCCTGTTGGTCCGCCTGTACTCTCATTTCCGACTGAACTGATTTGAACCAAATTTGGTACACATATTCTTAAACATAGAAGGGCAGAATCGCGCATGTGCAGGGGTGCTGGTAGTATCTGTGCTAGCCACATAAATTTTTTTATTTAGCCTCCCATCGCTCAGTCATACTACCACACAAGTAATGATCAGATGGGCTTTGCTGCAGGCGATGGTTCATTTATTTCGTGAACAAGAACTGTCATTACCGGTTTCAAGAAGCAAGTAGAAATGATTAAAATGATCTCTGTAACTGATTATCCGCCAAGTGCGAACTGCGTAGAGATATTGTTTCCTGAAACCTGAAGGTAATAGTACAGCTGAAATTCATCGAAGAAAGGGTCGAATATATGGAGAAAATTTTATACGTGAAGGAAAGCAATTCAAAACAAAAGGAGAGGCGTACTGGCTTCGATAACGCCCGTCCGCATCATACTGCTATTGCCACCCAACAACTCCTTGAACAATTTCAATGGGATATTTTCGATCATCGACCATATGTCCCGATTTATCGCCGACTGACTTCTCCTCTTTCCATGACTCAAGGAATATGGCTAGCAGGAAATCGATTCGAATGAAAAGAGAATCTTCAAAACAGCCCTTCAAACTGGGCGCCACCCACCTTTTTTGCAAGGCACGCGTCTGCCAAGGGTAGTCGATTTAGGCGCCCAAAAGCTCTAATCGCGGTCTCCCGTTCTCGTGTCGCCAATAGAAACTCGAGGTACGAGAAGTACAAAAAACGCAATTATCGAACATATCACTTGTGTAACAAAGAAACGAGCAGCATGAGATCTTCTCCCACTAATGAAAGGTTAATCTTAAAGGATCGAGTATTGGAGTTGATCCAACTAAGCATGATTCGTGTAATGGAAATGCATTTCTTGTAAGTGCCCGTGTGTTCGTTATTCCGAGAGTAACGTATCAAATAAAAAGTACAAGTATAGAATTTCAATTACTTATGTCTTATCAGCGGAATCTTCTCCAATATAAGTAAATCACGGTTGAACATCGATGTTTCAGTGTGCGATTATACAAACATTGAGAAGCAATAAAAAGGCCCGTACTTTACCTCAGGAAGGGATATATCTGTTATTAAAAGATCATAACCGCTGCTTCCCCTTTTAGCTAACATAATATACTTTATTACCTCACAAACAGTATCTGCTTACAGTATTTTATGGATGCCGCAGTGTTTAAGTGCACTAAAGTGTATACCACTCCGTCACTGAACGTCAACCACATGTAATGATAAATTATATAAATAATTATTATGAAGTTATAAACCGTTTTGATGTACTAAGCATCTTTCAACGCAAGTATAAACGTAAAATTTATCTTCTGAAGCTTGCTATTTTAAGGAGCTTTGGAACGCGTCAGTCATAAAGCTATCCGTCTACAAATCTTTTTAATCTATTTTCGAATAAATGTTGATAATGACTTATTTCGGTTTCAAATGTTCGTAGGCGTTTTTTGCATGTTAAAGGGGACGTCCAATCTTGTAATTATGCGAACCCTTAACGACCTGATGGTAGATGCTTTATTAGTTGTGTCTGAATGTTCTACGACATGCAACGCAAAGCGAAAGCTCAGCTTCAAGTTTAATGAAATACGCCGTAGGTTCGTGGATGACATGGCACACATTTGCCATTGCCTGACTAAATAATTTCGCCTGTAAGATTTTCGAATTGCATGCTGCAACAATGCATCCGGGTATCATTAATTTTCCAACGCATGTATGATGGTAGAGTAGATATCGTACTCGATTGAAATTAATCGGCGCTGCTGGTATCTAAAGCTTTTCACTGAAATCACAAGTGCAATAAATTATGTTACCTAAATTGGATTGTGTGGATCCTGAGGCATCTTCCTCATGAGTCACTGCAATGTAATGACTTGGAGGGTGCCCATTTGCCTGTCATTCATGTGTATGTAATGTATAAACAAATGAAAGTGTTTAAATACATTTGTATTTGCTCAATTGAAGGATTGAAAAGAATTCAAGTAAATTCCGAAGAAACAAAGCCACATTAGTCAGTATAATTGCCTTAATTACATTTAGTAGATTCCAGAATTCCAGATAAATTCCGAATTCAGAAGAATTCAGAAGCAATTCAAGACCTTGTGTATAAGAAGTTAAGAAGAAATTAAGCTCTTACATTTTCTGTAGGTATGTTAGTTATAAGAGCGCGATCTTAAATGTAGCCTTTATCTTCATGCATTTAGTACGTTGTAGTCTCACCACCAATTATTCTCGTACCGAAAGTAAATTAAACAGAACTTTCTACGTGTTCAGACGGTCCTTGTGTAATAGGGGTTTACACTATAGTTGAATTCTGCAGTTCTAACTTAATAATCGTATACCTGCAGCCATAAAACAATTTTTTGGATAGTAAAAGTTTATTTAAAAATAGTGGCTGATTTGAAAGAAAAATAATGAAAATGTGCTGTATCGGGGGTTTATTTAAAACGAGATGATTGTGGCGGGCTTTGTGACGCAATAAGCTCGACCAATCAGCTTCTAGAACCATTCAGATGACATCACGACTTGGCAATATTGCAGGAGAATGTCGCAGGCACTTGT